GGCAAAAAATTATTGCCCGTCCCTGCATAAAAGGATAGAACAACTCCATTTGGCCTCTTCCCTGCACTGATCTCCAGACTATGGATGTATACTAATGGGAGCATTCTAACCAAAGGACAGAGGACCTTCCAGTCTTTTGGAAGCAACCAGAAATTCAACAAGCCAACAGTTTATTGCATCATTGGTTCAAACCTGATGCAGAAACATTGAAATGTGGGCTTGTATTTTATTGCTTTCTGCAGTTGTAACCCTCACCTCTCTCTCTTCTCTTGCAGAAACCTTTAGACATCACAGAATAAAGAATTGGCAACCATGTTATATTTGGATAACATCTGAATTATTTATTGACCTGGATATATGGCTGGTCCTTTAGCAGCAGAAGAACCTTTGGTTAACGAAACTGGTTTTAAATCATAACCACTAATTAAGTCTAGCATCTGGATGAAATAAAGGGCGAGTTTTCAACACCACTCTTCAGTGCAGGACAGCACAGCTTCACAGATGATTAATCAGCCCTACCCAGTGAGAGGCTCAGAGCTCTGTGCAGAGCTCACTGACTGGGTGTGGATGATTAATCACCTGTGATGCTACACAGCTTAGAGCAGAGGTGGGCAAAAGCCTCTTGGCAGGCAAAATCTGCTCCACCCAGGGCTTTGATCCAGCCCAGAGGAAGTTCCAGGCCCTGCCCCCTAGTGCAGGGGTCAGCAACCTACATGTGCTAATTTTCAGTACGGGGGAGGAAGCTCAGCCCCAGCACTCCTCCCCCACGCAGCTGCTGGAGAATGCTCCCTCCTCCCTGCAGCAGGTTAGGCTACCATGGGAGGAGGCAGCACTGGGGCTGAGGCTCATCAGTGATGCCTCAGTAGGGACAAGGGTGCCGTAGCCATACGGTCCGGGGCCAGCCCTGGAGGCATCACTTCTGTGGCCACATGGCCCAGGGCCACGTGTCTGCTGCAGCAGGTCTGCTGGCCTCTGGGACCAGCCCGAGGCTGCATGTCCGCAGCAGCGCCTTCAGCCTCCAGGGCTGCGTGGCTGTTGCAGCAGCAGGACCTCCCTCCAGAGCATCCGGGACAGCATGACTGAAGCCTTTGTTACAAGAGGACACGAAGATAGGTAAGGTTACTCCCTCATGCCCAGACTTCCCCCATCCTAATCCTCTCACTCCTCCCCCAAGCTTGCTTTCACACCCTCCCTTGTTCCTGTACCCTCGCTCCTGGACACACACTGCATCCTCCCTTGGTCCCACTCCCTCCACCTGGCCAGACACCCTACTCCCAGCCTGCTTCTGAACCCTACCTCCCTCCCAGATCCTGCACCCCATCCCTATCCTACTTTCTGGAAGCCCTGTCTCGCACGCTCTACCCCTCATCTTTGTCCCTACCCCAGAGCCTAAGGAGAGCCATAAAATCCAGTAACTCAAACTCCAGAAAAGTAAATCTGGTCTATGGGAAGCCCTGAACCTCCCCATCCCTTCTCCTCACCTCTGGTGCCCCAGCCTCACAGGAAGTGAGGTGTCTTAGTTGGGGGCCATGTCAGTGAAGGTTCGGGGATTTTGGAGAAGGTTTTTTGCTTCTTACTTGGGTGGTTTCCAACGGATTTTTCTGTGGTTCAGTGACCCTCAACCCCAAAAGGGTTCTCCACCCCACCATAAATAAAGGAAACGTTGAAACCTTTTGTGTTGGACATATTTTACTTTATTTAAAATGAAGTTTGATAAACTAACATGAGAAAGTTAAAATGCTTAATCTGTTTCATAAATTTAAATTAAACCATTCTCACTAGCTGCAGCTGGTTCAGAAAATAAGATCACCGTACTCAACCTGCCCTTGCCTCTCTTCCTCACTCCGTCCCCCGGCACACAGATCCTTGAATAAGTTAAACCTCAGAACACCACTTCTGAAAGGTTGCCAACCCTTGCACTAAAAGGTATAATCTGCATCTTAATTTATTTAATAATGAAGCTGCTGTAGATAGGACTATTTTTTACTTTAAAAAGTATCACCAGCACTCGGACCTGTATAACGAGGCAAATAAGTCAAATCCCAGCACTGCACCTCTGAAAGGGCTCACAGCTTTCAGTCCCACTGGCCCATTGCCTGGAAACTGCACAGGAGGTGCCCTTTCAACTGCTTCTATTCAAAGGGCTTGAGCCTGCCAGGCAACAGGTTAGCAGCAGGGGCAGGTGCTGCCAGCCATGTTATGTGAATTCTAAGCCTTCACTTAGAACTCTGGGAGGACTCTGGCCCCCAGCACCTTCCCATCTGCTCCAGGTCCTTTCCATTGGCCAGAAGTCAGGAGGCAGGGCCCCCAGGCCAAGCAAAACTTCTGGCAGGGTAGTTCTCAATTCTACCCCTTCTGCCCGCGACTCCACCTCTTGTGATTGGCCCATGGCTACTTCTGAAATTTGTGTAGTGGCCCCCCCTTCCAAAATTATTGCCCACCCCTGGATTAGCGGGAACACTGCTAGCCTTTCCTTTCTAGATTGACCAATCTCTGAGTGGCCCTGTGAGATGTGCTCCTGGTGGTCAACACGGGCGCCTGAAACCAGCTAGAGCTTCGTCACACTCTGGCAAAGCCCTCAGAAGGGCTCTGTGTGATGCCCACTAACCAATCTACAGCAACAATGGCTGATCATGCAGCACTACTACACGTTCTGGGATGTCCTTGCTATGAACTAGGCAGAGCCCCTGGGCAGTGTGTGGCTCCTTCTGTCATGGAGGCAGGCTGGGCGCACCCTGCTGGAGAAGTGGAACCTCCATGTCCTGAGGAATTGGTGCTCAGAATCACTATTCAGCATGGACTCTTTGGTCACAGCACTGTGAAGCACCAGTGTAAATGCATCCCCAAGGCTGTGAGCTACTCCCCTCCTGAAGGTGGTTTATCTAGACCAGGGGTCGTCAACCCTTTCAGAAGTGGTGTACCCAGATTTAACTTATTCACTTCTATTTATGGATCTGTGTGCTCAGGGGAGGAGACAGAGGCAGGCTGGGTATAGTTACCATATTTTCTGAACCAGCTACGGCTAGGTAGAATGGTTTAATTTAAATTAAATAGATTAAGAGTTTTAACTCATGTTTCAGAGGAATAGCTGTGTAAGTCTGTAAAAACTAGTCTTGCAGCACCTTAGAGATTAACAAAAATGTAGATAGTATCATAAGCTTTTGTGGGCACAAAAAGCTCATGATACTGTCTACATTTTTGTTAGTCTCTAAAGTGCTGCAGGACTATTTGTTTTGTTAAGTTTTAACATAATGTTAGTTTATCAAACTTCATTTTAGATAAAGTAAAATATTAATTTATGTCCAACACAAAAGATTTCAATGTTTTCTTTATTTATGGCAGAAGTGGGCAACCTTTTTTGGGTCGGGGCCATAGACCCACAGAAAAATCTGTTGGGGACCACACAAATGAGAAGCAAAACAACAAAAATCCCCAAACCTCACTGATGTGTCCCCCAACTGACATACCTCATTCTTCTGGCCTCACTGGGTAAGGGAAAAGGACGAGGGGGGCCAGGGGGACTGAGGTTCAGGACTTCCCATAGGCCAGATTTACTTTTCTGGGTTTCCGGAGTTAGTGGATTTGGTGGACCTCCTTAGGCTCCGGGATGGGGACAAAAATGAGAGGCTCAATGTGTGGGATAGGGCTGCCAGAGAGTGGGATATGGATGCAGGAACTGGGTGGGAGGTGGGATGTAAGGTGGGTGAGGAAAGCAGGGTCTAGAAGGGAGTCTGGCAGTGGGAGTGGGTGTGGGGTGGGGGTACAAGAAGGAGTTGGAAGGGGGTTGGGAGAGTAATGCAGAAAAGGTGAGAAGGTGACAATGCAGCCAAATAGCTAACTGGGGAGAGAGTCAAAGAAGTGGGAAGTGAAGGAAAGTGCAGCTTCTGCAAAGTAAAATGATATGCCCCCTCACATCTTCCTTCTGCTCCAGCTTCACTCCCTACAGCACATGATGCCCCGCAACCTGATCCCTTGCATTGCCCATTCACCTCAGTATAACCCCTGCCCCCATATCCTCCTTCACCCCTCCTACCTCCACATCCCTGTACCTCTAGTGTGCACAATGGCAGGGCAGTATGCTGGGACCCACCCATGATCCTAACCCCTCAGCCTGATCCCCTGCATCGCTCTATCCCCCTCAGAGAAACCCTTGCACACCTCCTATCCTGCAGACTGATGGGCTGGGGTAGGCATAGCCAGGGGCTGCTTGGGGCTGGTTCCAGCCCAGCCAGGTGCAACAGGGTGCTGGGGAAGGGGCTCCCCGTTCTTCTGCACTCTCCCTGTGGGGAGCAGCCCAGGCATCCCACAGAGGCAGCAGCTTGTGACTGGCTGCCCAGCCCAGGATCTGCAGAGTGGCTCCAGCCCCACCCCCTCCTGAAGCAGAGCCTGTAAAGGGGGAGGGAGAGGAAAGGGGTTAACCCTTTTAGCTCCTGGGAACTACATGCACAGGCTCCGCAGGGGCCCCCCC